TACCACGGCCAACATGAGCACTCGCAATAACTCTTCTTAAGTAGCAACTTCAACAAGTTGTGTTTCAGCATCAACCAACATCGTGTAAACTTTATCTAAGGGAAGAGACTCACCACTGGACGTTATGACGGTCATGAACGGTTGATGATCCCTTGGAAGTCCTTTGAGAATACTGACAATATGTTCCACAACAGGAACTGGACTACCACAGGATGCCAAAGCATCAAACACTTCCTTAACCTGAGTAAGAAACACCCGTATGCTATCATCCTCCTTCTTAAGGGACTGCAACTTATAGTGTAAATTCATAACAGACGTCGTGAATCAGTTGACAAAGAATTGAAAAACCGTACTCCAAACAGCAGCAGTTGTTTCTGCACCAACAAACTGAGGTAGCAAGTGATTACTAATAGTAGACAAAAGCCAAGAAGCCACAGTACTAACCGGAGCAACAAAGTCCTCATACACATCATTAGAGACCAAAACACCATGATCATCAGCAATCATCACATATAGAGGTTGCATCGTACTGGTAAGCAATCGTTCGAGATGATGACTCCTCACAGTAAGAAGGATTTGTTGTTTTCACAACAAGAAGTTTGTCTCGTCAAAAACCACATTCACTTTCTTATTTGTGAACATCATGACACTTCTTGAAGAATTCTCCAGACAAACGAAACAACAACTCCAGTCGAGAACCATCCCTCAATTACGCAGCAAAGAAACCTCCAGGATGAATGGCGAATGATACCATGTAGAGAATCATGCAAACACAGTAAAAGATATATTTTATTCTCTTATTTTACAACAATATACTTACATGCTTATATAGGTACACTGTAACTACCTATACTCCTAGCTGGCAAGTCTAACAGATAACAATTTTAACAAACTCTCAACTGCACAACAACTCTACAACTGTGGCACAACAATACTTCTATCTCTAATATGGAATAACCCAAAATCAAAGATAATAAAGTCATCATCAAAACTAAAATCAAATATAAGGTGAATTTATATTTCATCTGCAACAAACCAAAAAGATTCATATCTTCAATGGTTCAAATTTTAACTTTTTTTATTTTTTTTATAGAAAATAGAAAGGAACAAACTGATTTTTCAGTTATACTTCAAAGATTAAATTAGAATTTTATTAGTATACGACACCATTCTTATAATGATATATCATGCCGTTATTTTTCGATACTTTTAATGATGAAAATACAATTTTTTTAAAACTTATTAAAAATATAAAAAGTCAAGAAACTTTTCAAACATGAATCGATTATTGCTATAGACTAGATTAAAAATTTCATCGAAAGCTCTTCTTACTAAGTAGTTCAAATTTAGACTAGATTTTTTAAGCTAAAGTGTTTGATGTGAAATTATGAGAAATTTATGTAGATGCAAGTATCGTGTGGGATAAGAATTTAAGAATGATTATAATAAATACTAACAATAAAATGGTTCTTTCCGTACATTAACAAGAACAAGGAATAAGGAATACTTCAACGATGGTGCGACATATTCATGATCTTATAAAGGGAGATTAGAGCTTATAATTTTAATATGTGTCAAAGGAATGCAAGGAAAAAATGCCCATATAATGTATGTGAGAATGTTTATTTCCCAAAATAATGCAGTCATTCGATTATTTCCCCAAATGGGGTGGATGCTACAGGAAACATGCATAGTGTCGGATCACTCGACGTCTTCAAAGGAAGCAGATTTATCGACTTCTTCAACACAAAATTTCCATTAAAAAATGGATCTCTCTTTCAGTGTCTTCCATGCAAAGGAATGCTCGGCGTCTTCAAGCATGGGAAAATAGAATGCTCGGCTCTCTCGGCGTCTTCCATGCAACTCTTTGGGAATGCTCGGGGAATACTAACATTCATTTAATAAAAAAAAAACCCAAAAGCTGCTGCCCCCTCTCTCCCACATGAAACTTCTCAATGTATTTGATATGATTTATTAATAGTAAAAAACTCAATTTAATAGTATTGATATGATTTATTAATAATGATTTAATGATTTTTGTGGCTAATGATGTGATAATAATGATTTAATAATGATTACTAATAATTTTAATGATTTGGACTTTAATGATTTAATAATGATTAGTAATAATGTTTTATTATTAATATTTAATGATTTGATACAAATAATTTAGTAATGATTACTAATAATGAAATTATAATAATTATTACTAATAATGATTTAATAGTAAAAAACTCAATTTAATAGTAATGATATTCGATTCAATTACTTAAATTTGATACTAATAATTTAATAAAGATTACAATTCTTGACGGTGTCTGGGTGTTGTTGAATAATAATGTCGAGACGCACGTCAGTTTCGTTGTGGTCGTTGCACTTGTTTAGGAGTTTGTTCATCATAACCAACCTGCTCATTCATCGAGGGCATAGGTTCCGGTATTGTAATTATATGTCCAACACCACTATGCTCTCCCATCTGAGGACAAATACTCGTATTTGTCATCATAGATGTCATCTGATCAAAATCATTTGTTGTCCCAAACATGGGAGAGAACATGGGTGATTGACGAGGAACAACTTGAGGAGTGTAGGGCGTAACACCAGAATCACCAAACACTTGATTAAATGATCTTGTGTGATCAAAAGATTCTAGTGGGATATTACCCTAAACCATAAACAACAATATTATAATATAAACATAATAAAAAATAAATTCGTTAATTAATTTTATATATACCTCAACTTTGCATTTGATGTAAATCTTAAACCTAAACAGATAGAGGCATAAAATAGAAAGAACGGGGTTGGCGCATAATAACGTGAAAGAGTTTAGGTTTAAGATTGACATCAAATGCAAAGTTGAGGTATATATAAAATTAATTTGCGAATTTATTTTTTATTATGTTTATATTATAATATTGTTGTTTATGGTTTAGGGTTTAGGGTTTAAGATAATATCCCATTAGAATATTTAAAATACCCTAAACCCTAAACCCTAAACCCTAAACCCTATGGTAGAAAATTCTATTAATATAATTGTATTTTAAAGATTCTAGTGGGATATTAACCTAAACCCTAAACAACAATATTATAATATAAACATAATAAAAAATAAATTCTCTAATTAATTTTATATATACCTTAATTTTGCATTTGATGTCAATCTTAACCTAAACTCTTTCACGTTATTGTGCGCCAACCTCGTTCTTTCTATTTTATGCCTTTATCTGTTTAGGTTTAGGGTTTAGGTTTAAGATTGACATCAAATGCAAAGTTGAGGTATATATAAAATTAATTAGCGAAATTATTTTTTAATATGTTTATATTATAATATTGTTATTTATGGTTTAGGGTTTAGGGTAATATCCCACTAGAATCTTTTGATCACGCAAGATCATTTAATCAAATGTTTGGTGATTCTGGTGTTACGCCCTACACTCCTCAAGTTGTTCCTCGTCAATCACCCATGTTCTCTCCCATGTTTGGGACAACAAATGATTTTGATCAGATGACATCTATGATGACAAATACGAGTATTTGTCCTCAGATGGGAGAGCATAGTGGTGCTAGACATATAATTACAATACCAGAACCTATGCCCTCGATGAATGAGCAGGTTGGTTATGATGAACAAACTCCTAAACAAGTGCAACGACCATAACGAAACCGATGTGCGTCTGGACATTATTATTCAACAACTCCCCGACACTGTCAAGAGTTGTAATCATTATTAAATTATTAGTATCAAATTTAAGTAATCGAATCGAATATCATTACTATTAAATTGAGTTTTTACCATTAAATCATTATTAGTAATCATTACTAAATCATTGGTATCAAATTATTAAATATTAATAATAAAAAATTACTACTAATCATTATTAAATCATTAAAATTATTAGTAATCATTATTAAATTATTATTATTAAATCATTATTAAATCAATATTATTATTAAATAATTAGTAGTAAATCATTAAATCGTTATTAATAAATCATATCAATATTATTAAATTGAGTTTTTTACTATTAATAAATCATATCAAATACATTGAGAAGTTTCACGTGGGAGAGAGAGAGGGGTAGCAGCTTTTGGGGTTTTTTTTATTAAATGAATGTTAGTATTCCCCGAGCATTCTCAAAGAGTTGCATGGAAGATACCGAGAGAGCCGAGCATTCCATTTTCCCATGCTTGAAGACGCCGAGCATTCCCCAAATAGTTGTATGAAAGACGCCGAGAGATTCATGTTTGCATGGAAATTTTTGTGTTGAAGACGCCGAGAAATCTGCTCCCTTTGAAGACGCCAAGTGATCTGGCTCTATGCATGTTTCCTGTAGCATTCACCTCATTTGGGGAAATAATCGAATGACTGTATTATTTTGGGAAATAAACATTCCCACATACATTATTTGGGCATTTTTGCCAGGAATGCAATATGATAGCCGACGGTCTATCCAATTTAACTTGGAAGCTACTTGCTAGAACACACTCTTTCTTAGAGCCCCCAACGTAAGTTCAAAATGTTTTTTTTATAAAGACACTCGATTCTATGATCCCATCAAAAATTAATCTCTCTTTGTATTATAAAAAGTTATATATAGTTATTAATGATTTTATTCAATTTTTTACTTTTAAATTAATTTAAAAAATAAAATTAAAATATAGAGTCTAACATAAAAAATTTATAAAACAATAAATATAATAAAACGAAACAATAAGTTTAAATCATTAAGTTGATTCTGAAAATTTCTATTTTAATTTCTTTCTACTTTTACCTTTTTACAATTAAAAAATTTGTTAAAATATTAAAATTAAAAATAAAATAAGACCATTCTCATTCATGGGTAAATTTACTAATTAGACAAAATTTATTTTATTTGCTTGAATAATTTATTTATTTCTATAGTTTTATTTTGCATGATCAATATTTCTCTACTTGGCATTCTATATTAAAATTTCTGTTAAAGGTGAGCAAACGGCAGCGGATCCATTCTAGCTATCTCAGATTTGTATTTCCACTGCGTCGTTAGACTTTTACTAGTCGCTATTTTCTGAACTTCCCCTCAAAGATTTCGTTGATCAGGTCCGTTTTCACGATCTTTGCCTTAAATATCCGTCATTTCAAGATGGGTAGTTCTTAATTTTTGTTTTAATATTTATGTATTAGTTATTCACCCTAAGTTTGTTGGTCAAATTCGGTGTTGTTCCATCTTTTGCAGATCCGTGCTTCGGGTGTTCAATTCTCATCTATTAGCTGAAAGAAGCCATGGATTTTAGCAATTTAAATCGTCCGCAGATTACTCTGATGGGATCTGCGTTTTGTGTGGTGCTTTCATTGCATTTCACACTGCAGCTTGTGTCACAGCATCTTTTTTACTGGAAAAACCCCAAGGAGCAGAAAGCTATACTAATCATTATCCTTATGGCTCCTCTTTATGCTCTTGTCTCCTTCGTGGGATTATTGGATGTTAAAGGAAGCAAAGCGTTCTTCATGTTTCTGGAATCAGTCAAGGAATGTTACGAGGCTTTAGTGAGTGCCCCTTTTGCTCAATCTTTGGATTTTGCTTTGTTGCATTTATCTATGTTAAATGTTATTCGCTGCTGCTTTTTGATGTTTTTGGTTCTAGGTGATTGCTAAGTTCATGGCTTTGATGTATAGTTACTTGAATATATCAATTAGCAAAAATATTGTACCTGATGAAATCAAAGGAAGAGAGATTCACCATTCATTCCCAATGACCCTTTTTCAGGTATGAAATTTTAAAATAATATGTCACTTGAATAAATTAGTATTTACACTATTAATTAAGTCTCTTGATACATTGTGGTTGCTCAAACTACAGCCTCGAACAGTTAGGCTTAACCACAATACAATAAAGCTTCTCAAGTATTGGACATGGCAATTTGTTGTCATCCGTCCAGTGTGTTCTGTCTTGATGATAACACTGCAAGTTCTACGGTTTTATCCTTCTTGGTTGAGCTGGACATTCACAATCATCCTCAATGTGTCTGTTTCATTAGCATTATATTCTTTGGTAGCCTTTTACCATGTCTTTGCGAAAGAGTTGGAACCTCACAAGCCACTTGCAAAGTTCATGTGCATCAAGGGAATTGTTTTCTTCTGCTTTTGGCAGGTAAAAAACCTTCTTCGTTCTTTAGTTTTTTTTTTTGGAGCATTCATTACTTTATACTAAATAGAAGCATGAAAGAATGGACATTTTTTTTCTCTAAACCCCTGAGGATAAACAGTGATGTGGCCTTTAGTAAAACTAACCAAGCCTGTTACATAGGCTCTTAACTCGTGTGAAGGTTGACTAACACATACTTTCATAATTTGTAACTAGAAAATCATTGTGTCCCCGTCAAGGAAACATTGCTTTCTCTGGATGTGGGAAGATATCTTATGATTGAGCCTAATCTAGGTAATGGAATATACAATCAAATGGTGTCCTGAAGAGAAAATCAGATTGAGACTCATCAAAGAATAGTATATTACGGAAACTTAGCTAACCATATAGCTTCTTCTGAATATTCTTCCCCCCTCTGGCTGGATATCGTTTGTTTCTTCCTTCTAAGAAGTTTGCAGGATTACTGGTTCAGAGTTGAACTTTCTGTGTTGAGCACTAGGAATTAATCAATTATTTGCAGCAAATGTGGAGGTTTTGATCGTTTTGGTGTACTATATATGAATACCAAGCTATAAATGTTGTCAAATTCTTAACATTACACTTGCGTTGCAAGCTGCAGCTAGATCAACGTTTCCTTGCCCTTATTGGCGGGAGTTTGTTGTTGAACTATATTATTCTGCTCTTATCTCATGTTAATGGCATCAATTGACTGCATGCAGGGAGTGGTGCTTGACATACTTGTTGCGGTGGGCTTCATAAAATCCCATCATTTCTGGTTGGACGTGGAGCACCTTGAGGAAGCTCTTCAAAACATATTGGTGTGTCTAGAGATGGTTGTATTTTCTGTTCTCCAGCAGTATGCATACCATGTCTATCCATATAGTGGAGATGTTAAAGGGGGTGCAGGTCTCTCCAGCACAGGGTTCATCGGGGGTTTGATTTCTTTGTGGAATGAGGATGTGGTTCAAGTCACGGATCAGTATGTTCATAGTAGGTTTTTGGCGTTAGTGGGAAAATTTAAGAATGGTCCGATGGAGTTTGTAGTTATTAATGTTTATGGGACTCTAGTTGAAGCTGAGAAGGAGGATTTTTATGGGGAGCTGCTAAATTATGTTACACCTATAAATTTACCAGTTTGTTTAGGGGGAGATTTCAACGCGTATCTTGATCCAAAAGAAAAGATGGGGAAATCACAAAATTGGCATACTATCGATATTTTCAGGTCTTTTGTGCAACATGCCAAACTTATTAACTTGCCTGTGTCAGGAGGTTCTTTCACTTGGTGCAACAATAGAGAATCTTCAACATGGGTGAGACTAGACCGGTTTCTAATTTGTGCAAGATTCATTAAGAATTTCCCTAACATTGCGCAGTTTCTTTAACCGAAATCTACTTCAGACCATAATCCAGTTTTTCTGGAGGATAAGTCTACAAATTGGGGCCCTAAACCTTTTAGGTTCTTTAACTTTCTTTTAGAAGAACAAGGTTTCGATGACTTAGTTGAAGAATCTCTGGTAGTAGATGAAAGGAAGAACAATAGTGGTGGAATTTTCAGAATACTGTAGGAAGCTAAAAATAAAATCAGGAACTGGTCTGGAAGTGGCCATTTAGGGCTGGTAGAGTCCATTTCGTTGCTGGAAATCAAAATTAACAGTTTGGACTTAAAGTGTCAAGGTGGAAATTTGTCTGCAGGGGAACGGGATCAATTGACTGAATTTAAAAAGGAATTATGGAGACTGCTAAGGATCGAGGAGAGAATTTGGTTTCAAAAATCCAGAAATAGGTGGATTAAAGAGGGCGACAGGAATACAAGGTTTTTTCACCTTAGTGCTATGAAAAGGAATAGAATCAACACTATTCATTCTATCAATTTTAAAGGCAAATTAATCTCGGATCCAGAACAGATAAAAGTCAGTGTGTTTAATTTTTTCAAGAATACCTATAATGAAAAAACAACATTGGACGTTGAGGGCCTGAATTTTGATTTTAAACAGTTGTCTCAAGTCAAAGTGATTTTCTAGAGGAGGTGTTTACAGAGCAAGAAGTGTGGCAAGCAATTTCATCTTCTGAAAGTGCAAAAGCTCCTGGGTCGGATGGTTTCACCATGGGTTTTTACAAGAAGTACTGGAAGTTTTTAAAGGTGAAGATTATGGAGTTTTTTTTTATAGATTTCTACAATGGAAAGCTGTGGGTTCATGGGGTTAATCACGCTTTTATTACCTTGATTCCAAAGAAAGGTAATCCTAAGAGTATTGAAGATTATAGACCTATTAATCTAGTGGGCAGCTTGTATAAGATTCTCTCTAAAGTTCTTTCAAAAAGACTTATTTCTTGTGTTAAAGATATTGTTAGCCCTACACAGTTTGCTTTCATTTCGGGGAGGCCATTGTTGGATTGTGCCTGTTTAGCCAATGAAGGCATCTATTATTGGAGGAAACAAGGAAACAAGGACTGCAGGGGGTTATTTTTAAAGTGGATTTTAGCAGAGCATATGACACTGTGGACTGACAGATTTTGTTAAGGCTTATGAAGGAGATGGGCTTCGGAGAAAAGTGGTGTGCTTGGATTGAGCAGTGTATTTCCACAGCCTCAATATATGTTTTATTAAATGGGTCTCCTACAAAAGAGTTTCATATTGCGAAAGGTTTGTGACAAGGATGTAGTCTTTCTCTTCTTTTGTTTAATGTGGTTGATGAACTTCTTCATATGATGTTAACTAAAGCTGTGGATTCGGGCTTATTCCAAGGATTTTCTTTTGGAAAGAGTCAAAACTGTTTCAATTTGACTCATCTCCAGTTTGCTGACGACTTAATTATTTTTTGTCGAGCCTCCATCACTCAAATTAAAAATGTTAGACGAGTGTTGACGATTTTTAGTTTTATGACGGGACTTCATCTTAATTTAGTTAAAAGCAAACTTTATGGTATTAATGTGGAGGAGGACATCATTGGAAATTGGGCTAAGGACATTGGGTGCTCTATTGGTTCCTTTCTGACGGTTTATTTAGGCATTCCGTTAGGGGCTAAAAGAAACTGTGAGAAATTGTGGGAGCCGGTCATCGTCAACTTCAATAAGAAATTGGCGGGATGGAAAGCTTCCTCTTTGTCTATGGCCGGTAGATTGATGCTTATCAAGTCGGTATTATCCTCCTTACCTATATTTTATCTTTCTATTTTCAAGATTCAATCTAAGATTGGTCAAAAATTAAACTCTTTGATGGCAAACTTTTTATGGGGTGGAGGGGAAGAGAATAAGAAAATGCATTGGGTGAGTTGGAATAAGATTTTTAAACCGAAAAGTGCAGGTAGTCTAGGAGTTGTTGACTTGAAGCTTACTAATAGAGCTTTGTTGGGAAAGTGGGTTTGGAAGTTTGCAAATGAAAAAGATTCATTGTGGAAGAATTTCTTATGCTCTAAACATAGTGTTAGTTGTCTTTCTATGGATGTCAATAAAGTCCTTTCTCACAAGGACTCTTGGATTTGGAGAGGTATTGTGAATAGCTACATGAAGGATGATTTCATTGGAGGATGCATTAGATCTCATGTGAGGCTACAAGTTGGGAATGACAAATCGATTTCCTTCTGGAATGATACATGGCTGGGGGATTTTCCTTTGAAAGTTCTTTTTCCTATGATCTTTGCTCTTTCATCAAACCAAGGGGGTAAGGTTACTGATTTTGGTAGCTTTGATTCGAATGGATGGGAGTGGAATATTAAGACTATGAGGAATCTATGTGATTGGGAAGTGGTTCAGCTGGTTGGATTATTGGGTAAGCTCAATGATATCAAATTAAATGAATCTTTGGAGGATTGTTTGCTTTGGGATGACGTGGGTGAGGGGTTGTATTCTGTAAAAGCTTGCACGACATCAATCTCCTCAGTTGATGAGGATCCTTTTATGTGGAGTAAATGTGTTTGGCAGGGACTGGTTCCTCCTAGAGTAGAGGTTTTCCTTTGGCAAGTATCATTCAATAAATTAGCGGTTAGTGTGGAATTAAAGAAAATGGGAGTTCCTATAGGGGAGGCCCTTTTGCAATCAAGCTAAAGAATCAATTCAACATCTGTTTATTTCTTGCCAGTTTTCGTGGGTGTTATGGAACAGAATCATAGGCTACTGTGGTATTAGGTTGGCCTTACCTGCTGATCCTTCTTCACTTCTAAATTCATTGTCTGTTTTGAGGCCTTATTCAGATATGTGGAAGTTTATTCTGGGGGCTGTTTTTTGGTCAATTTGGAAGATGAGAAATGAAATTATTTTTGAAAGAGGCAAGCTGGACACATCCTCACTGTTTTTCACAGTTAGGTTAAGGTTAGCGAAATGGTTCCTAGCTAAGTATCATCTACTCTCTATTCAAGTGGATTCTTTAATTGGGGTCCTTCATTGGCTGATAAAATTTCAGCTTTTATGGATTTGAACAGGCTTGTGGTTAGATGGAGTCCTCCTCCAGTCGATGTTTTTAAGTTTAACGTGGATGGCACTGTGAGTAGTGTTGGGATGTTAGTTGGAATTGGGGGAATTCTAATAGACTGGAATCAGATTAAGCTTATGTCGTTTTCAGAAAAAATAGGTTCTACTCCTATCATTTTAGCAGAGTTGAAAGCTATCAAAAGAGGCTTAGACATCTTTCTGTCATCAGAATGGGTAATGAAGGGAAGGCTCATTATTGAAAGTGATTGTAAGGTAGCCGTGGATTGGTTGAAATATCAGGAGTCGGTTCCACCTTTTCTTTTAAATTTTGTTAAGGATATTGCGGCTACTGTTTCTGAGAATGAGGTCATTATGAGGTGGATTCTGAGAAGCTGTAATTGCAAGGCAGATTTGCTTGCAAAGGAGGGGATTAGGTAGTGGTTCACTTTGTTGTTCTGAGTTCGGAGGTTTTATGCCAAGGGTGTTATTAGAGTGTGTTTAAGTTTTATGTATCTACAAGGAGTGGTTTAAGTCTTATGTAATCTATTTATAATCAATATATTCAGGTACTCTTTTCCTCCTTCCGCTAGTCGGTTCTAACCTTATGGTAAAGGACTACTAAGAAGGAGGTTTTTAATGAGACCTATTATTCCTATAAAAAAATGAACGATTTTTTTTTTCCGGATTAGAACATATTTTTTATGAATGCTTATAATCTGTTTTGTAATTGCCTTTGTATATCAAACATAAATATGTTTATTAAAGTAAGCAAGATTTTCACGATACTAACTTCATAGAGAACATTTAGTAATATATGCATCATATTAAACAAATCTGATGATACAAAGAACCCTCCAAATTGAAAATGCAGGTAACCTTAAAGTAGCTCGAATTAATGATACATATGTAATGATTTTGTGAAGGTTGGATTACAGAATTCTGAATATGCTGTTCGAGTAACTCGTTACAAGCAGGCAGACATAGACTCTAGACAGAGATGTGGAAGTATGATCCTCGAATCGATACACAGCAATTAAGTTTCAATGACTCCAACTCTATACGAAAAGATTGCAACGTGTTTAATTTTCTCTTCTAAGAAAGTTTAGGTTATAATACGATATACATTAGTATGTTAGAACTAAAGTTAAAGAACATGTTTATATTAAGTAATACTTGGTTATTTGTTAGGCTAACTTTTGCCTTAGGCTACCGACCTGGAGAGTGGAGACAAAGCTAAGTTGATTATTCCTACTAAGCTTAAATTTCAATGGGAATGAACATTTAGGCAACCTAACATGAACATTAAGAAACATTAAAATCATAGTTAAAGAACAACTAATCCATATGTATGAACCACTTTACCAACCAAAATTGTTGATATACTTGGAAAATGTAAACCGAGTAGATCTCCCAAAGTTGTTAGATAAAGATTGCAAAATGTTTGAAAAGATGTCAGTTTGGTCTTCAGTAAGCCTTCCTATATTTAAAAATAAATATTTGAGTAAACACGTATATGTATATATACACGTATACAGCTGACGTTGGATGGCTAGATAAATGTGGTTTACCATACAAATAGTCCAACTTGATGAGGTAAATGCAAAGCTCGGACATGTTCCAATGAAGCAATGGAACCTGTCATCCATCCAACAAAAGGACGACGCCTGAAGAATAGTTATGCTTATGGACTTTAGACTATAGACTTCAAAAATTGTTTCATCTTTTATTTCTGCCATTTCCCATCACCGTATTTCTTGTTCTTGACCCTTAGCTCAAGCTGCCATTGAAATAATTAAACATTCTACGGTTAAGTTCAATACCGTCTTTGCCCGAACAAACTAATCAGATCCCATCACTGCCCACCATTTCAACTGTTAAAACTGATTTCCAGAATTACAGATAAAAAGCCTCAGCATTCAAAGGTGTAGAACATTTCCAGGATGTTTCTTCTATATTTGGGGTTCGGCCAAACCCTACGTACGTCTCTATC